TTGAGGAACCTTTTCTATCTGATTATCAATTGAAAAAATAATCAACAGATTTGCAAAATGACAGCATAGACCTACAGTAGTAGATGTTTCTTACTGCCGTTTGCTTTTTGCAGTAAACATGATCCTATCGTCTAAATGAGGTGGAAACACCCCCCCAATCAGATCTACCCACACTATGTTGATGTTCTGTAATAAGAACATCCAACCAAACATGTGGTGTGATGCGGCTGATAAGAGCGGTGTCCTGTTTCTGCAGAGAGCTTTAGTTCCTCACTCAGTCTCACGCCTCGTATTACTCGGCAGTCTGGCTTCATGCAGGCTAGACTTCCTCTGCACGTTGCGGGGATTTTTCTGCACCGCACCAAAGACGAAACGCTGTGTAACACCGAAAGAAGATCAGCTGTTCATGCGCAACAACTTCCTCTGTTTGACCACTGAAGCCACTGACTGTGTTCAGAGGAAAGAGCTGATGAACAGCAGCAGACGACAAGTTTAGAGTCAGACAGGTTTGCTCGACTGTCAGGTTTAACGGTTTAATCTTGTTCAATCTGCATGTTTTCTAAGGAGGAACAAAAGCCTGGTTTTAGTTTAGAAAACGGGTCCCCCCCTTTGGAATGGGGGTCGTTTGGCTTCATTGTTAGCCTGCAATGCCCCATACCTGTCTATGTCTCTGAAAGGGTCCGCTGAATAAAGCCTCCAACTCTACGACAGTGTCAGGCTTTTAGTTTTAGAGAATTCAGTTCAAACATTACGGGAATAAGGTCCTAACATTATCAGAATAAAGTTGTAATATAATGAGAATAAAGTCATAATAATTGAATAAAGTTGAAAACTAACGAGAACAACCTGTTTCATGAGGAAAGCTTGGAGCTCCGCCCATCAGATGACGTCCGACCAGCTCCACCAATCAGCAACCAGAGTCCACTTTGACATCCTGCCCAGTTTGATGCTGCTGCTAAAAGACTTCCTGATTTATCAAACCGATGCTAAAGTAGAACTTCACATGATGCTCCACATTCCTCACTTTAGGGAAGAAAGGGATTCTGGGAAGAGTTGTTATAAAATATAACTTTGTTTCTGGTAGTTTTAGGACTTTATTTTCAAAATAGAAGAAATCTCTAGCCTAGCCGTAATACTCCGTCGCAGTTCTGAGCGGCAAACTGTTTCACAAGGAGATAAAAAAAATATATTTAACTATGGCCACAAGCGCTAGAAGAAAAAATGAGAGAACAATAATATTTAAAGGAAAAGTTCGCTCATATACAGAAACCTCTGAAAGTTCTTTAAATATCAAATTATTACATCCTGTTCAATAGATGTGTTTGTTTCTTGTAATTTTAGGACTTTATTCAACTAATGTGACAACTTTGTTCTCAAAATACAACAAAAAAATACT